CCCCCCCCCCCCCCCCCCAGGGTCACTCCCCCAACTCCTCGCGCCACACGCTCAAGTGGTAGCGTAGCCGCATGTGTCTAATAATTAGATTGGAGCGGCCGGGCCACTTGACCCTAACCATGTCTACTTATGTTGCATGAGACTCCATCCATGAGCCACATCGAGAAACGTCTTATCGAAAACTCATGTCAAGAGGTACCGCAAACTACTGTACGGAAAAGTTTGTTAAAAATTTTTTTTAAATATCCCAAAAACATTGCTTAAATGTCATTTTGCTGGAAAGGAGATTGAAATCATTGACAAAAGCAGCGTCAGATTTCCTACTAAAAATAAACGAAGCAATTAATTGGTTTGTACGCGTGCTGTGGAGTTTCGGAGCCAACTCCTTTTGTAACATTGTTTCGTTGAGCGTTGATTTTAAATTAGGAGCATCGTTGAATTGATTTAATCTGAAGCCATTCTACGGGGGGGGGGGGGGGGCGGCCATACTTTGAGAGCTCAAAATGTGCTGTGAGACTAGGCTGTCAGACTGTGTGACTATAAGACTACGAGGCTAGGTCGTGAGACTATGAGACTAGGCTGTGAGACTAGGTCGTGAGACGATGAGACTAGGTCGTAAGACTGTGAGACCATACCTTGAGACTGTGAGACCATACTTTGAGACTGTGAGACCATACTTTGAGACTGTGAGACCATACTTTGAGACTGTGAGACCATACTTTGAGACTGTGACACCATACTTTGATACTGTTAGACCATACTTTGAGACAGTGAGACCATACTTTGATACTGTTAGACCATACTTTGAGACTGTGAGACCATACTTTGATACTGTTAGACCATACTTTGAGACAGTGAGACCATACTTTGAGACTGTGAGACCATACTTTGAGACTGCGAGACCATACTTTGAGACTGTGAGACTAGACTGAGAATGGGAGACTAGGCTGTGAGGCTAGGCAGTGAGACCAGACTGTGAGACTATGCTGTGAGACAATGCTGTCAGCCTAGGCTATGAGACTAGGTCGTGTATCAAGTTCAATATTTCGGGGGCACTCTTGATCATAGATGGTTTACACACAGGGACAACTAAAATTGATTTCAAATCAATCGTTTGGGGACCTGTTATCGTAGTATGAACTTGGGTTTATGCTCTGAATGTAGAGAATAGATGTTCGACTGTATTGTTTACGCCAACAGTCCTTTTGGGTATAAATATTAATGCCAACAGACAATTCCTAAACATTCGTTGTTGCATTCAAAGTGATGACGACAATCTTAAAACAGAACAGCAGTATCTAATTGTAATTGCATTTCTTTAGAATATTTAACTCAGGACCACATGAAAACAGTCTTAAGATAGAACCTTTATAGTGACTTAATCGATAAAATCCCATGAGCTTCACAAGGACTAGGGGCATGGACGTCATTTGGGTAAGGGGGCATGACCTCCCCCCACCTGAAAAAAATTTGAAACGACGCCCCTGACTAGGGGCGACGAAATAGTCTTCTTACTGGTTCGCCCCGGGCGGCACTATTTTCTATAATTGAAGGGTGGAATTTTCAGGGATCACCCTTGGGCGCCGCTTTACCTCGGCACGGCCCTGAGTCTACACTAATGGTCTCCTAGTATCCACGAAGCATTCTGAGTATGTCCTTCTCTACTGACAGTAGCATGTAACAATGTGCGGGTAAAAAGGCATTGAATATAAATTCATTTAACAAGCACATCCTTTCAAATCACCAACTAAAATTAACCAAACAATGTGTGGGAAACTTAGTAAGACTTTTCAAAAATTGTCTATCCATTACAATTTAACATTTGTCACTAAAGTTAACTTAAATTTCCATGACGAACAAATCAAGGTAGATAACTTAGAAAATAAATATCATTTAACTTTTCATAGCGTTATTCCTCTTATATTTAACCACAATCGCTCCACACAAACACCGCGTCCATGAGTTGCAGAGATACACCGATATTTGTGTCTACACTATTAATGTCACTTCAAGCTGACCAAACATCGTCCTGCAATTCACAACACACCAAACCCCAAGACAGAACAACAACATGGATTCAGTTTGAACACTGCAAATAATTGTTTTAATTATGTCAAATGTAAGAGACGCACGTGAAACTTGGACAATAACAAAATCGGCGCAGAAACTTTTCAAAAACATGGGAGAGGAAAGACAAGGGGGGGGGGGAAGGGGGGGAGGGTTGGGTAACCACACACGAACATAAATTGATCAAGAAACTGAGCTCCTCAACCACACACGGACATAAACTGAGCTCCTCAACCACACACGAACATAAACTGAGCTCCTCAACCACACACGGACATAAACTGAGCTCCTCAACCACACACGGACATAAACTGAGCTCCTCAACCACACACGGACATAAACTGAGCTCCTCAACCACACACGGACATAAACTGAGCTCCTCAACCACACACGGACATAAACTGAGCTCCTCAGCCACACACGGACATAAACTGAGCTCCTCAACCACACACGGACATAAACTGAGCTCCTCAACCACACACTGACATAAACTGAGCTCCTCAACCCCACACTGACTTAAACTGAGCTCCTCAACCACACTGACATCAACTTAGCACCTCAACCACACACGGACATAAACTGAGCTCATCAACCACACACTGACATAAACTGAGCTCTTCAACCACACACGGACATAAACTGAGCTCCTCAACCACACACGGACATAAACTGAGCTCCTCAACCACACACTGACTTAAACTGAGCTCCTCAACCACACACTGTTATAAACTGAGCTCCTCAACCACACACTGACTTAAACTGAGCTCCTCAGCCACACACTGACATAAACTGAGCTCCTCAACCACACACGGACATAAACTGAGCTCATCAACCACACACGGACATAAACTGAGCTCCTCAACCCCACTGACATAAACTGAGCTCCTTAACCACACACGGACATAAACTGAGCTCCTCAACCACACACGGACATAAACTGAGCTCATAAACCACACACGGACATAAACTGAGCACCTCAACCACACTGACATAAACTGAGCTCCTTAACCACACACGGACATAAAGTGAGCTCCTCAACCACACACGGACATAAACTGAGCTCCTCAACCACACACTGACATAAACTGAGCTCCTCAACCACACACTGACATAAACTGAGCTCCTCAACCACACACGGACATAAACTGAGCTCCTCAACCACACACGGACATAAACTGAGCTCATCAACCAGACACTGACATAAACTGAGCTCATCAACCACACTCGGACATGAACTGAGCTCCTCAGCCACACATGGACATAACCTGAGCTCATCAACCACACTTGGACATGAACTGAGCTCCTCAGCCACACATGGACATGAAGTGGTCAAATTCATCGAGTTGCTCGTCAGAGTGCAGCCAGTCCCAGATTCTTTGGTTGGCGTCCAAGGCAAGGTACGGTGACACCATCGGTTGGGGAATGTCAGATCTCTTCACTTTCGAGGACAGGATGGCACAGAGGTCCTCATAACTCATCGTCTGTTTGGGAAAATGTTTGGTTTAAATACGGTCCTTTAATTTAGATGTGCGTCAAGTCATATTTATAATTACATTAAAGCCATCTGGACGTATTCAGGTGTGTCCCCATGTGCTACTGTCACAATGTGCTACTGTAACAATGTGCTACTGTCATCCTGTGCCACTGTCACCATGTGCTACTGTCACAAACTACTCCTGTCACAATGTGCTAATGTCACCATGTGCTACTGTCACAATGTGCTAATGTGCTACTGTCACAATGTGCTACTGTCACCATGTGCTACTGTCACCATGTGCTACTGTCACAATGTGCTAATGTCACCATGTGCTACTGTCACAATGTACTACTGTCACAATGTGCTACTGTCACCATGTGCTACTGTCACCATGTGCTACTGTCACAATGTGCTACTGTCACAATGTGCTACTGTCACAATGTGCTACTGTCACAATGTGCTACTGTCACCATGTGCTACTGTCACGATGTGCTACTGTAACGATGTGCTACTGTCACCATGTGCTACTGTCACAATGTGCTAATGTCACCATGTGCTACTGTCACAATGTACTACTGTCACAATGTGCTACTGTCACCATGTGCTACTGTCACAATGTGCTACTGTCACAATGTGCTACTGTCACAATGTGCTACTGTCACAATGTGCTACTGTCACAATGTGCTAATGTCACCATGTGCTACTGTCACAATGTGCTACTGTCACCATGTGCTACTGTCACAATGTGTTACTGTCACAATGTGCTACTGTCACCATGTGCTACTGTCACAATGTGCTAATGTCACCATGTGCTACTGTCACCATGTGCTACTGTCATCCTGTGCCACTGTCACCATGTGCTACTGTCACAATGTGCTCCTGTCACAATGTGCTAATGTCACCATGTGCTACTGTCACCATGTGTTACTGTCACAATGTGCTACTGTCACAATGTGTTATTGTCACAATGTGCTACTGTCATGTACCGTTGTCACAATGTGCTCCTGTCACAATGTGCTACTGTCACAATGTGCTACTGTCACAATGTGCTACTGTAATCATGTGCCGCTGTCACCACGTGCCGCTGTCACCACGTGCTACTGTCACCATGTGCCTCTGTCACAATGTGCTCCTGTCACAATGTGCTACTGTCACAATGTGCTACTGTCACAATGTGCTACTGTAATCATGTGCCGCTGTCACCATGTGCTACTGTCACCATGTGCCGCTGTCACCATGTGCCGCTTTCACCATGTGCCTCTGTCACAATGTGCTACTGTCACCATGTGCTACTGTCACCATGTGCTACTGTCACCATGTTCCTCTGTCACAATGTGCCGCTGTCACTATTTGCCGCGGTCACCATGTTTAGTTGTCACCATGTGCTACTGTCACAATGTGCTACTGTCACAATGTATCGCTGTCACCATGTACTACTGTCACCATGTGCTACTGTCACCATGTGCCTCTGTCACAATGTGACACTGTCATGTAGTTTGCTTTGCTCCCAAAATATTTTCCCACTTATGACTAAAAAGTGTGAAGAAAGGGGTGGGAAGGGGGGTTTGGAAAAGATTTCTATCAGTGCATCTCTTGCCCACCCCGTCCACAAATTGATTTATGTTTCCAGTCCGATTGAGGGACATCGTGTTATCTAAAGTCCGGTCCTTTCAATGTGTTCCCATTGTTTAGCCATTCTTTGTCAATTGTGAACAGAAAAAAAAATCCTCTGTGAAAAATAGGATTGAATTTAATTAGTGCTTTAAAACTTTTATTTTTCAAGAGCGTACACAGGAAGAGACACACTTAAGATCATATGACGCTTTTCAATGAGTTCTATTTTGTCTCAAATCACAGTAAGGTGCTCCCTTTGGGTTATGCATTACAGATGTAATACTAGCTGATACAACTCATCTCTGATGATTTCAGGGCACCAATTTATGTCCCATCTTGAAACCAGTTCATTTTAAAGAAACTGTATCCATATCAATCTCGAACATCCCAAACTCATCTCAGATGATTTCAGGGCACCAATTAATGTCCCATCTTGAAAACCCATTCAGTTCAAAGAGGCTGTATCCATATCAATCTCGAACATCCCAAACTCATCTCAGATGATTTCAGGGCACCAATTAATGTCCCATCTTAGAATCCATTTTGTTCAAAGAAGCTGTATCCATATCAATCTCGAACATCCCAAACTCATCTCAGATGATTTCAGGGCACCAATTAATGTCCCATCTTGAAACCCATTCAGTTCAAAGAGGCTTTATCCATATCAATCTCGAACATCCCAAACTCATCTCAGATGATTTCAGGGCACCAATTAATGTCCCATCTTGAAATCCATTCAGTTCAAAGAGGCTGTATCCATATCAATCTCAAACATCCCAAACTTACCACCGAGGATTTCATGACTAAAAAAAAACCTCCTCACCTGGAGCTGTTTAGGCCAAGCCTTTGATGTCTCCATGATCACCCCAGGCTCAGAGACACAGGTGGCGGGATGGGGAGTCTCTTCACTGAGCTTATGCGTCGTGTCCGGCCTGTTTGACCCATCTGATGGAGGCTGAGTGGTCAAGGATAATCTGTCCCCGTGGCTCGTGTGGCTGGAGACTATGCATCCCGTCTTATCATGCATGCTTAAGTTTAAGGCTAAATCTTGCGTGTTGACATCATCCCCCTCCTGGTTCAATCTGTTTAAGTGATTTATTTTCTGAATTTAAAAAAAAATTAATAAATGAAAATAAAGCCATCAAATGAAACAAAGTACATTAATGAACCAATTATTTATGTAACTTTGAAATCGTGCAGCCAGAGACATTGGCTAAAATGATACAGTCTAGAACTATTGGATACTACTCTTTTTTTTTAAATCCGTTTTTTTATAACTTCTATTTTGTTCGTGTGTTAAGGGCAAAATCTTCGGACGGCCAAGTGACCCACTTCCCGTCAACATATTGAGCTGAAACTTGGAACATAGATTCGTTGCCGAAGACAACACATTCTTTCAAATTTTAGCCCAAAGATGAAGGAAATATCATCTATATATATGTCACAAATGACTGGGGCGGGGGTACAGGACAGAGCTCCATTGTTGTTGAGGTAACTTATAGGATGGAAGGAAACTGCTGTTAATGGGGTTAAGTTAAGGTTAATAGACTCTCACATCTTGGTATAGTGGGGATTGTTTCTTTGGATAATAGTATGTTCGGGTTTTCCAGACTTCGCATGATAATTTTTGGGTTAACAATGGGAAGGTCTAATTGACCGGAAATTAGGGGGCATGGGTGTGTTTATAGATAGTATTCCTGGACCACCTAATGACGCATGGGATGGTGTGATGTGTAGAGTTGTAGGTTGGTCATTTGTGGAGTTTTTGAAATTTGTCAATATTTTGAAAAATTTCTTGAAGGGGGGGCATATGTCACAAATGACTGGGGCGGGGGTACAGGACAGAGCTCCATTGTTGTTAAGGAAACTTATAGGATGGAAGGAAACTGCTGTTAATGGGGTTAAGTTAAGGTTAATAGACTCTCACATCTTGGTATAGTGGGGAATGTTTCTTTGGATAATAGTATGTTCGGGTTTTCCAGACTTCGCGTGATAGTTTTTGGGTTAACAATGGGAAGTTCTAATTGACCGGAAATTAGGGGGCAGGGGTGTGTTTATAGATAGATTCCTGGACCACCTATGGGGGTAGAGAATCACAGTTGAGGGAGAGTGAACAGAGGTACGACGTAGTTGAGGAAGAGGGAAAGGAGCGACAGTAGTTAGTTGAGGAAGATAGAGAAGAACTACGGATTAGTTGAGGAAGAGAGAGAAAAGAGCTACGATAGAACTGAGCAGTTGTTAGGGAATACTTGCTAGAGACCAGAAGACGACAGATGACTGGAAAAACGTATATCTTACCAATAAACACTTTCATTATCGTTGGACACCAGAAGTTTTGAGTTGTTGCATTTCGTCCAAGTCTACTTTGTGCTTTTGTCTGTCTCAACGCCTAGACACCCACAATATAAATCACAGAGAGGAGCGGTCCTGTACTGACCACTACTAAGTCAACATAGTTTGTGTTAAGTCAGGACCGGAGCCCTCCTCCGTAACCACCGTTCTGTGACAGAATCAAGCAGTTGTTAGGGAACAGTTGCTAGTGATCAGGAGACGACAGATGACTAGAAGAACTTATATCTTACAAATAAACACTTTCATTATCGTTGGACACCAGGAGTTTGAGTTGTTGCATTTCGTCCAAGTCTACGTTGTGCTTTTGTCTGTCTCAACGCCTAGACACCCACCATATAAATCACAGAGAGGAGCGGTCCTGTACTGACCACTACTTAGTCAACACAGTTCGTGGTAAGTCAGGATCGGAGCCCTCCTCCGTAACAACCGTTCTGTGACAATATATAATTCGCCAGGAAAGGTCAAACAGACGGGTCAAACACTAAGCAGGCTATATATAGATACGCCAGAGCGTGGTTCAAAAATGAGTTCAATAGCGCGCAAACAGTAATTCCCGATAACTACGCTAAATAACACATATATATATTTAATAATGCAATTGCGTTTGGTGCGTAATATTTTCTTTTAGGAAATGAAATCGTCTCAATTTCAGTATTGTGTAGAAAATTATCGGCTTAGAAGTGGTTGGGGCGTGAAAATATTAATATAGTTCATGGGCGTGAAATAAAAAGTGTGCAGTGACGTATCATGGGGGAAGGGGGTGTAGCAAATAATTGGGATTCTTAAATGTGCGTTACTTGAGTTCAAGTTTTATCAAGTAACTTCAGTGTATGATTGGAAGTTCACGCACTGCTGCCGCTTAAAGTTTCGCGGGCCATATCACAGTTGTATCCTTTGAACCCACCCCATTTGGACAACTGTGTCTTTCACGAAGTCTTCACTCATCTATGCGCACTTCTGCGGCGTATGCTACGCCGCGGGCCGACTAGTTCTACTAATTTCACGAAATAAATGTCCCGATAACTGAGCTGAATGAGATTATTTGAAAAGAATACCGCGACTGCGTTTGGTGCGTGATATTTGTGTTTGTTTGTCTGAAATAGTTGGTGAAATAGTTGGTGAAATAGTTGGTGAAATAGTTGGTGAAATAGTTGGTGAAATAGTTGGTGAAATAGTTGGTGAAATAGTTGGTGAAATAGTTGGTGAAATAGTTGGTGAAATAGTTGGTGAAATAGTTGGTGAAATAGTTGGTGAAATAGTTGGTGAAATAGTTGGTGAAATAGTTGGTGAAATAGTTGGTGAAATAGTTGGTGAAATAGTTGGTGAAGTAGTTGGTGAAATAGTTGGTGAAATAGTTGGTGAAATAGTTGGTGAAATAGTTGGTGAAATAGTTGGTGAAATAGTTGGTGAACTAGTTGGTGAAATAGTTGGTGAAATAGTTGGTGAACTAAATCTGCGGCTTAAGAGCGGGTGGGACATTAGAATAATAATATAAAATATTATAAGAGTTTTTTTTTTAAATGCATACAAGGGATTTATACGAAAAACGTTGTTATTAGTGTTTGTTGAATTTTATTCATGTTCTCGTGGAGAAGATGTCACCACTAGATGTCAAGATGGATTACTCTTTTATATGTTGAGGTGTACACTATTTATTTTTTTTTTGAAGTCAAAGTCTGGGTTATTTTGCATACAAACCATTCATATTATATTATGTGTATACCGTGAGCACTTTATGTTCAAAACTTTGCTAATTAGCTAGCATTTCACGTTGGCTGGTCTTCACACCATCTTTATTATTTGATTACACCAGTGATATTATTAAGATTTTCAGGTTGTGTGATGGGGTTGTTTGTTGTTGTGTTGTTGTTTTTTTTTTTTTTTGTTGTTGTTTTTTTTGGGTGGGGAGGTTGTTTAAAGCAACATAGTGGTCAGTGGTCATCACAGCGAATTGCTTTTGTGATGTCATCCGCCCACTTACCTGGTCATTGCGGGTGGGGAGAAACAACGAGACACTCTTGGTGGGCCTACGGGGGTGGAGGCCGTAGCCCAAACCTTGACGGTTGCCGCCAGATGGCGCGGATCTCACATATGCTCTCCTGATGCTCTCAGAGTCGGCGTTGAGTTGGACCTGCGCTGGCCTGTCCCGTCGGGAGGTCAACTCGTTGGCTGGCCTGTTAGGGGCCAAGTGAAGTGTGGTACTTGAGGTGGTCACGGGGCTGTCCTTGACCTGGAGGTAATCTCTCGGGTGATGGTCCTGTTTCCAGTAGAGTGATGTTATTGTTTAATTTTTAGTTTGTTCAGAGAAATTTCATTAATATAAGAAATCCCTATAAGCTATTTTTAATAATATACCAATTAGTGAGGTTAGACCCACAACTGTAGGTCAAAATTCAAATTCTATGGCTTAATCCATCTTGACTCATGCTTAATCCCTCTTGACTCATGCTTAATCCCTCTTGACTCATGCTTAATCCCTCTTGACTCATGCTTAATCCCTCTTGACTCATGCTTAATCCCTCTTGACTCAAGCTTAATCCTCGTGACTCATGCTTAATCCCTCTTCACTCATGCTGAATCCCTCTTGACTCATGCTTAATCCCTCTTGACTCATACTTAATCCCTCTTGACTCATGATTAATCCCTCGTAACTCATACTTAATCCCTCTTGACTCATGCTTAATCCCTCTTGACTCATACCTAATCCCTCTTGACTCATGCTTAATCCCTCTTGACTCGTGCTTAATCCCTCGTGTCTCATGCTTAATCCCTCGTGACTCATGCTTAATCCCTCTTGACTTATCCCGTAATATTTTGATGTTAAACTCGCTGTCACAAATGACTGGGGCGGTGGTACAGGACAGAGCTCCATTGTAGTTAAGATAACTTATTGGATGGACGGAAACTGCTGTTATTTTATGGAAGGCATTGTTAGAGTAGGGGGTGAAGTTAAGGTTAATAGATTGTCGCATTCTTGAGATGGAGGGGATTGTTGCTTTAGATAATATTATGTTTCGGGCTTCCCAGACTACACACGGTCATTTTGGGGTTAATGATGGGAATTCTAATTGACCGGAAATTAGGGGCAGGGATGTGGTAATGGAGAGCATTCCTTGGCCACCTATGGAGTTAGAGAATCGCATATTAGGCAGAACGTTTCGTGATAAGAGTTAGCTGAGGAAGATAGAGAAGAGCTACGACGTTAGTTGAGGAAGAGGGAACAGAGTTACGGTTATCGTTAGTTGAGGAAGAGGGAACAGAGTTACGGTTATCGTTAGTTGAGGAAGAGGGAACAGAGTTACGTTAGTTGAGGAAGAGCTACGATAGAACTGAGCAGTTGTTAGGTAATAGTCGCAAGAGATCAGGAGACGAGTTCACCGATGGAACGCAGGAGACGATATTGTTTAACAGTTTAGAAACAGTCGTAGATAGCTGACAGTTAGTGTTAGTAAAGACTATTGAAGAACTTTTTATTTGAGTAATAAATATAGTCTATTTTATCATTGAGCACCTGGAGTTTGAGTTGTGCTCTTGTCTGTCTCAATGCCTAGACACCCACAATATAAATCACAGAGAGGAGCGGTCCTGTACTGACCACTACTTAGTCAACACAGGTCGTGATAAGTCAGGACCGGAGCCCTCCTCAGTAACATCCGATCTGTGACACTGGGAACATGGAGGCTCGAATCAAAAGCCCGTTTATTTTTTTCAACCACAATGTTAGCCTTAAGGCTTACGTCAACGGTTATTTATTTTAAAAAAAAAAATTTTTTTTAAAAATTCCGAAACTTAACCAGAAGCTAGTAGGGGCCCGCAACATAGCAGCTTGAGAATAGCAGGATGACTCTAGAGGCCCAGAACATCAAAGCTTGTGAATGCCCGGATGACCCTAGAGGCCCAGAACATCAAAGCTTGAGAATGCCCGGATGACCCTAGAGGCCCAGAACATCAAAGCTTGAGAATGCCCAGAATACCCTAGAGGCCCAGAACATCAAAGCTTGAGATTGCCCGGATGACCCTAGAGACCCAGAACATCAAAGCTTGAGAATGCCCGGATGACCCTAGAGACCCAGAACATCAAAGCTTGAGAATGCCCAGAATACCCGAGAGGCCCAGAACATCAAAGCTTGAGATTGCCCGGATGACCCTAGAGGCCCAGAACATCAAAGCTTGAGAATGCCCGGATGACCCTAGAGGTCCAGAACATCATATGCTTGAGAAAGGCAGGGTGGGGGGGGGCAATCGTATTGAAGGATTTTAATGTTATTTAAAAAAAAAAATTAAATATAAATATTGAAAATTATTCTGATACCCTAATGCATACGATCCTCACATATTCTGCACCAAATGTTTACAATATCGTGAAACAAGTGAAACGAGAGCGCTAAACTTTTACTGGTTACTGCTTAGGAACATTCATGTCATAGAAATGGCCTTGTTAACAGCAACACAACACATTTCTTTTCACTTCCTCCTCCCCCTCTCTCTCTCTCCCGCTCTCCCACACGACCGCACGTATTGCCATTTACAGTACCTGGAGCCTGGCACGTAGGTCAGTGCGGTATCTGGAGTTGATCACGTTTCGGCCCTTGGCTACAGCAGGACTGTAGTTTATGCCTCTGCTGACCGCGCTTCTGCAGACGGCGTTCTCCATGGAGTTCAGGGGAGGTAAATCCGGCCACTCAAACTCCAATAACTCTACGTGTTCTCCCCTTTTCTAAATGCCAAAGGTTAAAAAAACAAATTTCTTCCTATTAAAGACACTCACCTGCCAAGCAGCAAGGGCAACAGTGATAGTCATAGAAGTCATACAGAAATAAAAAAACAACAACAAACAAACAAAAACTCGCCTACTTATCACGTTTTCGCAATTTTAATATGATGTCTTTAATACAATATGCCAAAAGAGGACAGTATTCTAGCGACCCAAATTTTTGTGAAGACAATAACTTCTGGAGACTACAACAAGAATCGTCGCGTGATGAGTGACTTTTGAAAGCCCCCTGCCAATTTGGGTTTTGTATTCAAAGTTGATAGTTTCAAATGTTCTCACTTTATAACTTGGCGCCCCTTAAATATCCGACGCGCCCCCGCCCCCCCCCCCTTCCGACAAAGCCCACGCCTGAAGACCCACGCGACGGCCTTGAATTGAACACGCGAAGGTATTCTAAAATTGCGTTAGTTTTAAAATCATTACACAAAATCTAAGCGATTTAAGTGTGTTTGCCTATAGGATGTTATAAAACATTATGATGAAGATGCCGAGTTTGCTGGTGAGAGTAGATCTAACATCTTTAATAATATCCCATTAGGGCCATCACCTCATTCTCATTCAGGTCTGTAACAGGATCACGTCCTCGGTGTGAGGCGAGATGACTTGGTCCCGTCTTACGACCTGAGACACGTGACCTGGTCAACAGCGTTCGTCTGTCCGGAATTTTGTTGTTTCCCCTTGATATCATAGCGTCATCTCCCTTTCATATCGCCAACAATTTTACAATTATGAAGAAAAGCTACAACAAACTGTAAAAAAAAATAATAATTAATTGTTGGTTAAAATTATTTTAAATTAAAATTTCTCATTCATCCCAGGGGGGTATACTTTCGGCGGGGGCTTGTGTAACACGTGCTGGAAGTAGGAGGACCCCACATTTTTTTTTGAGCCTCTGGTGCATGTTAATTCCTGTTTTCAATGAGCATTTTCTTCGACTTTTCGTAAAATCCACAAGGAGCTGCTTGCAACCAATGGGCTCTTCTTACGTCGTTACAAGCCACTTTATCATGTTTTGAACACTCCCATCAATATCATCGCTTAATATCATGGTGTGATTCTCACATGTTTTAACAGTCAGTCCCCCACTTTTCATTTTGTTTTCGTGGTTCAAGTCTTTGCCATCTAACTTTGAACCATTGGAATGGGTTTAAAAAAAACTAAAACAAAATCAACTAAAATTGTTTACTTAGATGACAGTTTGAGATCTATGAGAAATATGAACATTTAAGATTCATTGATCATTGTCATACACGTTTTTTTTTTTACATATCCACTGTCAGGGTGGGCCAGGGAGGGTCAGGCAGGGCCAAGGAAGGTCAGGGAGGGCCAAGGAAGGTCAGGGAGGGCCAAGGATGGTCAGGGAGGGTCAAGGAGTGCCAAGGAGGGCCAGGGAGGGTCTGGCAGGTCAGGGAGGGCCAAGGAGGGTCAGGGAGGGTCAAGGAGTGCCAAGGAGGGCCAGGGAGGGTCTGGCAGGGCCAAGGAGGGTCAGGGAGGGCCAAGGAGTGCCAAGGAGGGCCAGGGAGGGTCTGGCAGGGCCAAGGAGGGTCAGGGAGGGCCAAGGAGGGTCAGGGAGGGCCAAGGAGGGTCAGAGATGTTTAGCGAGGATCAGGGAGGAAGGGATACGTCATCTGGCTCCACTACCCACCAAAAGAAAAAAAAATAATGATAATAACAATAATATGAAATGAACAAATTTATTTAAATATATATGTTATCTATTCTATTAATCTGACGCAGTCGACTAATGATAAAATATCATAAAGCATAAATTGCTTGCAATCACCTAAAAACAATTATTAGATTTTAGAAATTGTCAATTTAAAAAAAAAAAAAAAAAAAAAAAANCACACACACACCCAAAAAAAAAATATTAAATTTTAAAAAATTTAAAATTAAAAAAAAAAAAAAAAAAAAAAAACCTTCAGTTGACTCAAATAGTGTTGAAATTGTCACATACTCACTCAATGTAGATGACATTAAAACATGGCGGATTGTGATCTCAAGTCAGAGAAATATCCAAACGAAACAATGAAGACCAGACATAAACAACGACAGATCTGACCGTTCAATAATTATCCTTGAACACGATAAATAAGATATCCCAGTCGGTGTTAAATGATTTACATTCTACCCAAGGGGCGGTTTAATGATTTGAAATTCCTGCAGAAAAATGGGTCGACCCGAGACCAATGCCTTGAGACACCTGGCTGAGTGAACACACCTATTGTAAGTAGAAATCAATACGGATCACTGATCAAGTTATAGACAATGGACTGTAAATCTAAACTTTATTTATAGGGCCTATATATTATTATATATTTATATATATATATATATATATATATATATATATATATATATATATATATATATATATATATGTTTTGTGTGTGTGTGTGTGTGTATATATTTATATATATATATATATATATATATATATATATATATATATATATATATATATATATATGTCTGGTGTGTACGTGTGTGTGTATGTTAAACCAGTGTGCTGCCACAACACAGGAGCACGCGGTGCGCAGGTACACATTGATTACTAAATAAACAATAGTTTTAGTTAAGGGTCCTTATTTGACTTAATGAGATCCACCTTGAGACTTTCCGTCTGACTTTTAAAGTCAACGCAGCTGTTTGAGCAATGGGAGACATGAATGCTTCCTAATATTATGGTAATATACTTAAATCTCTGAGAATGTTCGTGACAAGAGGGGTACTTTAGTGGTAATCTAGTGGTACTTTAAAGCACGTGAAACTTCTCTTGGGAATTTTGTATCAGGTCGAGAGCCCCCCCCCCCCGCTCTTCCCATAACAGTCCATGCTCCCTATTCGCTTGATAGCTCAGTTACGCCACTGACTCTAATATTTAATCACTGTAGAGGTAAAGAGATCTATTTAAATAATGTCTTCCCCATTCCTTTACAAAAATTATTTTTACAATTTTATGTGATAGTTAATTAATTGATTGATTCATGATAGTCAAGAACATGATAGGTCATTAATTGATATATTCATGATATTTAAGAATATGATAGTTCATTAAATGATAGATTCATGATAGTTTAGAGTTTATGACAATGATACAACAAAAACAGGAAATATACGACCTTTTTAATTACTTTTTATCTGACAGATGTGATTGTAGTGCAATCAAACTCACCTAATGGACATGCTGTCCAGGTGACTGTGACGACTAACCACTTGGTCTGGACTAGCATGGTCAATAGCAGGCCTGGTTTAAAATTCAATTTTCAATCAGGTGAACAAGGAGAGCCACTTCAAATGTTTGGGTAAAGACCACTAGGAAGTCACTGAGGCGTGACTGATCAATACCGGTATTTACGAACCGTTGACCTGCGTTTACGGCTTCCACCAGCCACGTTCATTAATTTAAGATCTTTTTTTACGATTATGTTTTTTTTTGGGATTGATTTTTTTAAGTTAGTTACCAGAAACAGCCAGTGCCGGCCCCCCCGGAAACAGCCAGTGCCCCCCTGAAACAGCCAGTGCCCCCCAGAAACAGCCAGTGCCCCCC